TGTCCGTTCGGGTAAGCCAGGTCTAGAACAAATAAACCCAGGTTTTAAACCTAGTATAACATAGCCTCATGCCGGATCCCTAGTAGGAACGCTTGTTTGCATCAAGTGCATTTGACTTTGGGGACTCAACACAGGGGTTGGGTCCATCTAGGACAGGTGTACCCGAAATCAAAAGACCATCCTGATGCATTTTACTTGCTACTTGCACATTTATTTGATTCGGATTGCATGTTGACCGGCTTCTAGAATAGGGAAGAAAAATTGAGAAAAACCAAATTGAGGTAAGAGAGAGGAAATTACCCGCCTGTGAAAAACCTGGTGTCCAAAAATCCCGGAACTCTGCTGAAATTTTTGAAAAAAAGATATTTATGTTTTCTGTTGCGTCAAAATTGACCGAACTACGCAAGTTTGATTCTCACCGGATGTGGGATACGTAGGCAACCCTCATCGGGTCCAACTCCATTTTTTGCAAAAAAAGAAAAAAAAACCAAAATATATGAAGTGTCGTTATTTTATCATAAATAAATTAGGTAGTGTCGTTCTTGTCCAAAATAGCCAAAATGCCCCAAATGGCGCCGGAAGGCTGTTTTTGCAAGAATAGCCACCTAAGGTCCTCTTTTAATTTTTTGATTAATTAGCAAGCACAGCCCTAAAATCTTCTTTCCTGAGGGGCTGAAGGGCTGTATTCACAAAAGTGTTTTGTTTAAATTGCAACTTTCAAAATTGGTATTTTTTCTCTTGAGTCAAAATAAAATCATGGTCTTTTAACCGATCACTATAATTAAATGTGCAGGATGAGCACGATTGAAAATGAACCTTTCACAGTCCTTGAGGAAATCCCGTTAGAACTCCACATGTGGTGGAACGATTTAGGAGAAGTCAGCAGAGACACTGTGATAAAAGCTTTGGGCGGTCTTGTTGGTCTTCTGAAGATTAAGCCTAGGACGGAAATAATTGAGGCTTTGATACCTTTTTGGGACCCAACACATAATGTATTCCATTTTGCTGATTTTGTGCTAACCCCTATGCTTGAGAAAATGGCGGGCTACGCTGGTTTTGGTGGGAATCTCAGAAATCAATACCCACTGGCACCTAGAGCGGTGACTCCTCATAAGTTTCTGGATCTTTTAAGCATCAGTCGGGAAGTTAGAGACGGTAATTTGGCTAAAGGGTTCTGCACATTCTACTTCTTGTACCGACGTTACGGGTATCCCCACGGTTTCGAAATCCCAGATACCGGTCTAACTCATTTGGGGAACAAAGATAAATGGGAAGCTCGGCGGGGACTGGCTTTCATAGTGGCATTCCTGGGTGTCTTAATTTTCCCAAGAAAGGATGGAAACATAGAGTTGGGGCTTGTGGGAATAGCCGACTTCATGACTAAAAAGGCTAATGGCACCATTGTACCGATGATCTTAGCGGAGATTTACCGAGCTCTAACTGTTTGCCGAGGAGGAGGAAAGTTCTTCGAGGGGTGCAATATGCTTCTACAACTCTGGATGGAGGAACACCTCTGCCACCGTCCGGGGTACATGAACTGCGGTATGACTGGTCCTAAATGCATTGAAAAACATGAAGATCGGGTGAAGGGCCACGAGTTTCCGGAAGGTACGAAAGAATGGTTCACACTTTTGAGCTCCCTGACTACAAGCCAAATTGAGTGGACATTCGGGTGGCTCTCGGTCAGTGAAGTCATATACATGTCGGCCGAAGTATGTTTTCTTCTATTGATGGGTCTCCGGAGCATTCAACCTTATGCCCCACACAGGGTTCTACGCCAGCTAGGCAGGTACCAGACTATTCCGCATGACGAGGATTTGATTCGGCAGGTCATCGAACTGGGACCAAAAGTTGTTTTCCCGGAAGAAAAGGTGCGTCGAATTTGGCATCAATGTAGGTTCCTAGAGCCAAAGACTCAGGTACGGGATCTGTCCAAAGGCGAGTTAGAGCCTAGTTACACAACTTGGTACGATAAAAGGTCTCAAGTCCATCAAGAGCCCGAGCGGCCCGCCAAAAGGCCCCATGTCCAACAATTCACTGATGGGGTACAGGAGCAATGGGATTGGTTGGCAAAAGAGGCAAGCTACAGAGCCACAATAAGCAAATTGGAAGGGCAAATCCGGGATCTTAAATTTGACAAAAGTGTACAGGCCGCTGCTGACGAAGGGGAGAAGAAGAAATTGGCCCAAGAAAACAAGGCCCTTCGAGCCCAGATCCAAAAAATGAAGATAGCTGCTAAGAATCAGGAAAGGAGCCGAAAGGATGAAAGACTCATAAATGGTCTTAGGAAGAAAATAGCTGAATGCGAGGATGATTTGGAAAAATCCGAGGGTAATCTGGCAAGAGCTCGAGCATAGTTAGCGAAGAATGCAGAGGGACGAGCAGAGTTTGTCCGGCAAATAAAAAGAAAATATGAGG